GGTTAATGTAGGCAACCGAAGTTGCAAATGAAGCCCGGGATTTAAATATCCCAGGCTTCATTTGCATCTTCCTGGGCGCCGCTATTTTTAAATCCCCGGTAGTTCGGACTCCGTGCCCGCGGCTACATGTGGCACGGAGTAGGTAGTTCGAATTAGGCTTTCTAATTCAAACTACCGGTACACCTCGGTAGAAAGCCTAATTCAAACTACCTACTCCGTGCCGTGTGTAGCCGTGGGCACGGAGTCCAAACTACCTGGGATTTTAAAATGGCGGCGCTCAGGAAGATGCAAATTAAGCCCGGGATATTTAAATCATTTGCAACTTCATTTGCAACTTCGGTTGCCTACATTAACCACCCTAGTTCAAACTAAGGTGGTAGTGTAGACATACCCTAACAGAGTTCAAGGGTCACCCTGACTGTCACCCTTCTGGTGCTCCCCCTACTCTGTCTTTCTTAGGTTTCTCAGCCCCCTTTTGGGCCACAAACCCTCACCCCACAGTCTCTGGTTCCCAGAGTTCCGGCAGTCCCCATCACTTGGTGCCTGCACCGGGGCCGACTTGTAGGGTTGCCAGGTAGACCCTCCCCCCAAAAAACTGGACACACTTGATCTTGGGTGGGGGAGGGGAGGTGATCTTGGGTGGGGGAGGCTCTCCCCCAGGGCCATCTGCGCTGCCCCCAACCCCGCGAGGCCAGCCGCGCTGACCCTGACCCTAGCCACCCCAGGACAGCCGCGCTGCACCCAATCCCCTGCCCGGGGCAGCACCCGATCCCCTACCCAGGACAGCATCCCCTCCTTCCCACCTTGCTTGATGAGGCAGCCGGGTGACGTTGCTGCGTCCCTGCTGCCTCTTTCCGTGGGGTCCTAAGACCTGCTGATTTTGGCTGCTCATGCGTGGCAAACCTGGTGCAGTGTCCGTTCCCCAGAGTGCCGAAGCAGCGCTCCTTCACTCACGCCCCCTTTGAAACATTAGGGTGTGCCTGGGCACACCCGGCACACCCCGTACGCACGCCTATGGAGACAATGTGTGGTCACATAGACTTTAGGCTGCTACTTTGTGATAAACTAGGACTATCCAGGAAGCTCCTCAATGGGATATTCGTGTAAATCACTCAAACTGTTGCACATCAAGCATATGTGTATCCCAGAAAATCACATCCTGCATAGGGTTCTAAAATGGTGTGTCATTTATCCAGGCTATAGTACGTGGGTGAGAGGTATCTTTTGAAAAGTTTTCTTATTTTGTGTGAGTAGTAGATAAATAATAGCCAGAACTCACACACCTATTAATCATAGAAAAGAAAATATCCCTATTTCTTATACTTTTGAAAAATGCAGCTCCTAGTGTGTAATGATTATCCATATTAGTACAACAGGTATAGAAGAAATTGATCCCCTAAAAACAAATTAAGTCTAAAGGCAATTAGTGAAGTGTCTGAAAACTTATCACATTCTATTATGTTGCTAATTGTGTTTTGTCTCTAATCTGGTGTTTTAGATCTGCATTAAATATAAAATCTCTGGGCCTCGGAAGGGGCAAATCAGATGAGAAAGATTCACGAAAACTTAAAAAGATGGAAAAAGAGGAGAAAGATTTCAGAAAAAAGTTTAAAGTAAGTCTTATCTGAATACAATTTGAAAATGAAAATATTTGCATAACTTATTCTCCAATTTGTAAATTATCCATTGATTTCATCTGCCACTGAAAGGCAAAATACTTATTTTTGAGATCACATGAGCAGTTTTAATGTTTGGAAAAATATTTACCCCGTTTAATATTTTAAACAGAGCTTTAAAAATTCCAGTCATCTGTACTGATTTTTCCCTCAAACATATTTATCTTGCAAATCTTTACATAACAAATCCCATTGATTTCATTAGAATTATTACAGCAAGTAAAGTATATTCTGCATGAACAAAGTTTTTCAAGGACAAGGCTTATCTCAGTTAAGTCAATACTTAATTAATAATGAAATTTAAAAACAAAAACAAAGCAGTTTTGAGTTGCCCATAAACACAAAGTCTGCGAATGTTCTAATTTACCTCATCAGAGTGCTGATCAAAGCTAGATTGTTGATTCTCACAACCACATTTTGAAGTAACAAATATTACTATCCCCACTTCTACATATGATGGAACTATCTCAGAGAGATAAGTTCAGAAGTGCTGAGTTCCTCAGTTTTCCTGAATTAATCAGAAGTTATGGGTGCTCAGCACCCTAGAAATTGTAAGTGATTTGTCCAAATCCAGGTGAAAATTCAGAAGATTCTAAAGCCACCTGGTCAGTCAAGGAGCTGACCTGCTACAGGCTTTGGCTTTCATCCATCTGACCCTCTTTTTGGGGGAGTTAAATTAAACTGTAGACATTATATTAACAAAAGATTCTAAATAACTTTTGTGTGTTCATGCGGCAACTCTATCGCTTTCAAATGACAGTATTGAAAGAATGATTAGTGTCATGATATAGAATGTTTTATATTGAGACTAACTGGATAAGGGCAGCAATTTTCAGTAGTGCTCAACCCTGTTGTAACTCTTCAGCCATTGAAATCAATGGCAAACTTAAGCAACGTTCAATACCTTAGAAGTACAGTAAGATTAATTTACATTGTGAGGACTTTTGCTTTCTAACTTGCACTACCACAGTTAGCATGAATTAGGAATAATAGTAAATTTCATACAGACTCATCACTTATTGTATCATTTTAATTAAACAATACTTTTTTGGTACACAAAATATTAGACAATGGTTGCAATTAGCAACTGAAATATGATTTAGGTATTTAATCAATCTTAAAAACTATATGATGCAAGTATGCTGCAAAGCAATAAAGATTGCTTATCTTCCACAATAACGATATAACATTGGTCAAAAATGGCGTGTTCTGGGTGACGCTGAGGGCTGGCTGCCCCTATTCCAGTGAAATCAGTTGCCAGCCCTAGATAAATAAGACTTCTTTAATTACTTTCTGCACGCTATTCATGATTTTATAGACATTTATCATATGCTCCTATAGTCATCTCTTTTCTCACCTGAAGTCCCAGTCTTTATAATCTCTCCATTTGTTCCATATCCAGAAACATTTTTCTCGCCCTTATCTGTACTTTTTCCAATTCTAATATATCTTTTTGAGATGTGGTAACCTAGACTACATGCAATATTCAAGATGTGGGCATACCATGGATTGATTTAGAGGCATTATATTTTCTGACTTTATCTATCCCTTTCCTAATGGTCCCTAGCACTCTGTTAACTTTTTGACTGCCTCTGTATCCGGAGGAAATATTTTCAGATAATTATCTACAATGACTGCAGGATCTCTTTCTTGCATGGTAACAGCTAATTTAGTAATGTACCATTTTGTATAGTATAATTGGGGTTATGGTTTCCAACATGCATTACAGTACATTTATCAATACAGAATTTCCTCTGCAAATTTGTTACCCAGTCTCCCTTTTTGTGAGAACTCTTCACAGCCAATTTTAGACTTAACTATCTTAAGTAATTTTCTAACACCTGCAAACATTGCCACTACATTATTTATTCCTTTTTCCACATCATTTATGAATATGATAACAGCACTGGTCCCTGTGAAGACCCCATTATTTATTTCTGATCAATGTGAAAACATAATTTATTTCTACCCTTTGTTTCCTATCTTTTAAGCCTCTTTCAAAAAAGGCATGTAGTCTAGACATAGCCTCATCCAGTCTGCTTATTTTGCATAAGAGCCTTTGGTGAGAGACCTTGTCAAAGGCTTTCTGAAAATCCCAGAACACTGTATCCATTGGATTGCTCTTGTCTACATCTTTGTTGATCCCTCAAAGAACTGTATAAATTGATGATGCCTAATTTCTCGCTATAAAAACCATGTTTGCTCTCTTTCCCAACATATTGTGTTCATAAGTGATAGTTCTGTTCTTTACAATAGTTTCAAGCAATTGGCCTTGTGCTGAAGTTAGACATATTGGCCTATGTCAGAGCTATTTCCCACACTGGCACTCCAAGTGCAGAAGATGGGGGCCCGCAAGAGACCTTAAATACCTTGCCTCTATAGGCTCTGTTTCCAAAACTCCCCCAAGACACAGATGCACTGGCTCTGAGAAAAACAAAAGCTGCCACCATCAAGTGGCACTTTTGTAGACAGTTTCAACACAGTGGCCAAGGACTCTGGGGAAAGTCTACATTGCCACTGCCTGTACTGCACCTGTTTGTTTGATGGAAAGATAATTTCACTCTCCATCTATGCCAGTGCAGAAACCTTCACCCAGGGCCAGCCCAAGCCATTTTGGTGCCCTGGGCCCGGGCGCACAGCGCCATCCCCCTGGGAGCACGGGCCCGCCCCCGAGGCGCATGGCGCATGCGCTGCCCAGCCCAGCCTGGCCACCGCTGCTGGCGCGCAGCGCCTGGCTGTGCAGGGCCCTGTGGCCGTGGGGAGAAGGGCGCTGCGGGGGTGGGGTGGGGGCCAGCGCTGCAGGGATGGGGTGGGGGCTGGCGCTGCGGGAGCCGGGCACGTGGCGCCGGATGGCAGCTATAAGGGACATTGCGCACCCCTTACAGCTGCCATCAGGGGCCCCCCATTGATTGGTGCCCCAGGCAGCTGCCTGGCTCACCCACCCCTTAGTCCGGCCCTGCCTTCACCAACACTAAATTCCTCCACAACAGTTTAGAAATCAGTACAAGTACTCAAAGAAATAACTGTTTGAAGGGAATAGACTTATATGGAAAGAAGTGATTTCATTAGATACATCTTATGTAAATAAGAGTTTGCCATTTGTGATTTTTGGACTGACTTGGCCAATTTTCTCCCTTGGTAGTTTTGTCTAAATATATCTTGTATAAAATGTGTAAATTTCTTACTAGATTCTAAATATACAGCTTACCATTCATTTACACTAAGGATTGATGTTCAAACACTCTAATGTGCAGTTTCATTCTCTATTTTTACCCACTTGGGTGCTTGCAATTTGCTATTCCATACACATACAAACATGCAAGCCAAAATCAAATGATCTCCAAGCCTGTGCACAATTAATAGGATTAAAAATCAACACCAAGAAAACTAATACTATGAGAAATAACCTGCAAGAAGAAACACCAATAATCATTTCAGGGAATGACATAAAAGTAATCCAATATTTCATGTACTTTGGCAGCATTGTGCATGTGACAGGTTGAACAGATGAAGACATTAAAGCCAGAATACAAAAGACAGACATGCCTTTGTAATGCTAAAGCTGTTGTGGAGAAACATACATTTTGCCCTCCAAATTAAATTTCAAATATTTAACACTATTGTCAAATTAATATTAATATATGGCATTGAAACTTGGAGTCTTATTAATACCGTACTAAATTCCAAGATTTCATAAACAGCTGCCTTAGACAAATCCTCAGTATCAGATGGCTGGTAAGCCCTTTCCCCCCTGCACGCGTGCGCGCGCGCACACACACACACACACACAAATGAAGAACTCTGGAGGAGGACAAAACAGAAACTGATAGCACAGGAAATTACGGAACAAAAATGAAAAAGGCTAGGACATATGTGGAGGAAAGACCTAAATAACATAACAAGATAGACATAGGACTGGAAAAGGCCCAGGGCAACAAGCAATGAGGGAGACCAGGAATAAAATAGAAACATACAACAGAAGCAGAGCTGAAAAAAGCTAAGACTGCAGCTGGATGGAAATCAGCAAAGATGGCAGATCCTATGTTCTGCATGGAATAAAGAGGCAGAGATAGCATAACAGTGCACAATATTACTTGCCTATGTTTCTGAAATCAGACCAAAAGTTTTAGGAGACTGTAATATAATGTATAAGAGACTATAAAGCTTTTGCAATGTTTGCATCTTGCATCTCTCTTTTTGTTTTTGCAGTTTGAAGGTGAAATTAAAGTTATTTATTCCACTACAATTATCCTGGATCTGCAATCTAAAAAATGGGGAGCAAAAGACTTACAAGTGAAACCAGGGGAGTCAGTTGACATTCTGCAAATCACAGATGATGCCAAGGTCCTGTGTAGGAATGAGGAAGGAAAATGTAAGTTATATAACACATGGTACAATGTGTCACATATTATTGAACAAACTGGCAAGTAGAGAATAATAATTTACTGCATAACATCACTCATGGGCCTTGTTATGCTCAAGCATTGATTGATGGTTCCTTTTTCTATTTGCTTTATGGCTAACAGCATATAGAGTATTTGTTATAACTATTTTGTTCTTACTTTCAGTGATGCCTACACAAATGCATGATAAGAAACTGTCCTTGTTCTAAAAAGCTTAGAAGCTAAATAGACAAGACAGCTTGGAGGAGAGAGAGGCAGCATTATTATTTAATTAAATATTAATTTCCATTTCCTAAGATTAACAAGTTTTGTCTATGGCTCAGGTCTCTCCATTTGTCATATGGAGCACTACTAACATTTCAGATAGAATTTAATGAAACAGTAGGGGCCAAATTCACCCTCCCTGCACCACCACTGTCAGCCATCCTGTGATTCAGCCATGGGAGGACCAATGATGGTTGCTCCACTTGCCCTAATGCTGGATTTCTATTACAGGGTGGGGGGATTGCAACACTTGGCTCTCTGAAAACACACCTGGGGTGGGGACCTTTCCACTCAGCAGATCTTGATCACATGTCCTCCCTGGCCAGTACTGCCTGTTGTTAGGGGTTCATAAAGAAGCTGCAGCCAGACATCCTGCCTAAATGTTGTGGCTTCTTGGAGCTCCCTGCGAGGGTCTGTCTGGCAGAAGCTGGTACATTCTTTATGTAAATTTGGAGCATGTACTGATGGCTTTGAGTTCTCTAGAGGTATTTAATTTCCCTGCTTTATAAAATTCCCAAATCAATAGCAATCCATGTTGTGTATTAAAAAGATGGATGAACAAGCTTTAGGGATACAACACTGCTCTTCCAGCTGCCCTTCTCTTCCACTTTCCCAGCCCATTCTATGGACTAAAACAGTGGCTTTTACCTTATCATATCTCCTATGAGGAGTGTACTGGTCACTTGATCTACTCAAGCATGGATCTCTCTTCTGGAATGTTCTCTCTGTTCCCCACATACCAGGCTGTCCTAGTTGGGAGTAGAGGCTTCTCCTAGGGACATACAAAGAGTATGGAGGGTTCTCCTGCATGGCTACATGTGGGTTTTCCGAAGTGAAGACAGGCTCCTGGCCTGGGACCTTCCCCAATGGGTGACTTTCACTGTAGGGTTTTTCTAAGTAACTTATCTACAACAAAACTGAAAATAGTTTGTAGTGTCAGTTTTCCCTATGGATTTTTTCAAAGCCCTTTGATCATTTGGATAATGTCAGAAGCTGCTACTCTGCTGTGCACAAAGAAGTGAAAACAAACAAATAAAAACACCTTGACAGAAAATCTTTGAACAAATTTTTGTCAGCTTCCACATTAATTAGCGGCTGCATGGCCTGATCCTAGTGCATTGAAGTCTATTGCACTTTTGTCATTTACTGAAGTGGGAATTGTTTTGTGCCTTTTAAACTATAATTCTTCTTTAAGGCAGTGGATAGGGCAGTCCGAAATCTGTGTCAATTTCATTGACTTCAGTGGACTTGCAGTGGATATAAAGTAGCACATATTATGATCCAAATCACTTTTTCTGATATACTACATGGGGTTCGTTTGTGAATTTCAAATGCAGATTTTAACATTCTGCAAAATTTTCTAGACATTTGAAAATTCGACTTGATTTTTATAGTTTCCATGTTGGTGAATTCACCCCAGCTAAATATTATGAAACATATACACTTATAAGGAGGAAAAAAAGAGTTTATAAAATTAAATTGAAATATAACCAATTTCTCCCATTTTCATTTTTAACTTGCAAAATATTGCTGTAACTACATATTTGTATAGAATCCACATAAACAAACACTGATTAAATTCTAGACATGTCTCATCATGATGCACAAGGAGTGACGAATATAGGAATAGATTCTTCTCTCTATTATTTGTTATAAAGAATAACCACATTGAAGCTATTAGAGGTACTCCACAGATTCAGTTCTCATTAACACTGCTTTCTGGGCCAGATTCAAAGTCCGTGGCAGACTTTCCATTCACTTCAGTAGACTTCATTTCAAATTTGGCAGCCTAAAGGGACATTAAAGTGTTTGTAAATGTAATTTATACCTCCTTTGTCTTTCTCTACACAGCAGCATTACTTCAGAATAACTGACATTATTCCAAAATAACAAAGAGCGTGTCTACATTGCAAGCTGTTATTTCGAAATAATGGCAAGCTGGAGGACTTCTTACTCTGACTCCTGTAACCCTCATTTTATGAAGAGTAAGGGAAGTAAAAGGAAGCATTTTCTTCCTTCAACTTCCTGCTGTGTGAACAGCGCCCAAAGCTGAATTAAGCTATTTCATCTTAAGCTACACAATTGATATAGCTTATGTTGTGTAGCTTAATTCGAGTTTCATCCACAGGCTCCTACATTCACATATCATGTAAAATACACAAAAAGGAATAAAGTAATTTTAAAATCCAGCATGTTTTGATGCATGGCTTTTGAGCCAGATTTTCCTCTAAAGAAAGTAATGCAGTAGAGGCTAGAGCAGGTTGAACAGATTCAGAGGCCAGAGATTTACAGAAAACCCTAGATCTGCAGAAAACCTCAGGGTTCCATCCTCCACCAATAGTAACACAAACATTATTGAGTACTATGGGTTGTGTGGCTACAACTGGGTACTTTGCATTTTGTGACTTCAGATGGGGGAAAAGGTGCAGGAGCTAATGAACCATTTGAGAAATAGCAATCCTGCTCCCTTGCAACTGTGCCTAATAAAGAAATTAAGATTAAAAAGCAGAAATGACACTGGCAGAATGGTTTATCAATGGAATGTTTCTCAAAGTTCTCCCAGAGATATCAGCGGATTGTTGGGCGAGTTCTGCAAAATTTTAGGCTTGGACTATGCTACAGAATTAAGTTAACATAAGGCAGCTTCCATCAACCTAATTATGTCAGTGTCTAGAGTACAATTCTGCTTCTGTTGAAGTTAGTGACACACTATCAGGGGCGGCCCACGGATGTAGGCAACCTCGGCAGTTGTCTAGGGCGCCGTGTTTAACGCAGCACCCAATGATGACATCACGCCATTGAGGGCTATGGAGGCAGGGGCACCAATCGTGCATTCCACTTAGGGGCGCCAGTTGCCGGCAGCTCTCCTCGAGCCGCTCCCTGCACACTATACAAGCATAATAACTTCACCTCCATGAGAGGCATGAGGCTTATGTCAGTGTAGTTAGGGAGAAACAACGTCCATGTAGACACTGCATTGCTAGATTGACTGACAGCTGAAGCCATCCATCCCGCCTCAGTTCTGACAGCCTTATGCTGTCAGGCTCGAGGCTGCCGTATTCCAGATTCCAATACCCCACGTCAGCCATTGGAAGCCTTCCTGGTGGAGACGCACATTACCAACTGAAGGAGCCAATGTGTACCAACCTCCTGACTCCTCCCACACCTCAACACCCTGCCCCAGCCTAGAGCCCACACCCCATACAAACTCCCTCCCAGAGCCTGAGCCACAGAACCTGTACCCTCTCTCAGAACATGCACCCCATCCCACACCCAAATCCCCTGCCAGAGACTGACCCTCATCCCTCCTTTCCCAACCTAAAGCTAACTGCCCCAGCCTAAAGCACACACCCTGTCCTGCACTCAGCCCTCCTGCCCCATCTCAGAGCTCACAGCCCCTCTCACACCTCAAGCCCCTCTCCCAGCCCAGAGCCTGAATCCAAACTCCCTCCCAGAACCTGACCACTGATCCACCCCTGCATCCCAATCCTCTGCCCCAGCCCAAAGCCCGCAACATGAACCCCTCCTGCACCCTAATTCTCTGAGAGCCTGACCCCACACCTCTTCCTGCATCCCAACCTCCTGTCCCAGCCTGTGGGGAGAGTGACTGAGGGTGGGGAGAATGAGCAATAGAGGGAGAGAGGATGGAGTGAGCAGGGGACAGGGTCAGACAATGTGTGGCACAGGGGCATGGCTTCAAGGAAAAGGTGGTGCTGGCCAGGCAAGAGTCTTTCGGTTTGTATGGTTAGACAGTTGCCAGCCCTCCTGGGTAGGCACATAGAAGCCTTGGCTGTGCTGGAAGATTGTGACCAGCAGTATAACTGGCAGCTCACTGGGCACCAGCCAGAGCAGGCGCACCGTGTCTGCGAAGGTGCAGCTTGTGTGTGATGAGGGCCTATTGACTGTTCTGACTTGGAGCCCAGAATTGCTATTTGCAGCCCTGGGTAAAGATTATTTGAATGACCGTTCTTCATGATTCTTAATATATTGGGCAAGATTAAAACGTATTTTCTCTAATATAACTTTAATAAAAAATTAACAGTGCAGGAAAATGAGTCTCATTAATGACACGATTTCATGTGCTTTTTTTCAAAGCATTCCTAGTCTAAGTTTACTTCAGAAGCTTTAGGAACCCATATTAAATAAAAGAGACGATAATTTGATTGCTAACTTCTTTATAGAGAAGCTGTCAATTGATAATTACTTTAACACTGTGTCACTAAGCTGTAGATGTTCACTTTGAACATCATTATTGAAAGAAGATTATTTTTAAATGTGATTGCATTCCTTTAACCATTAACAGTAAGAAACTGAGGCTCAAGCAGATGTCATATATCTGAACAGCACCCAGATAATTACTTTAGATGATCTTTTAAGGAATTTTCACCTTAAAAGATATACATTCTCTCTAAAAATGTCAGATAATTTATGTATTATTGTTGTGACACAGCAAATCAATAATTTGTTCATAAAGCCTGCTCCTAGAAAAAATTACATTGCAGAAATTTGAGACAGGCAAGCAAAGTGGTACAGTATATGCTAGAGAGAAGTTCATTTTCCCTTGGAAATTATGGTAATTGGTGATATTTTCCCTAATTTAAGAGGGAAGCATGCTAACATGAAATGAATTACAGGAACTCTGGTTTCAAAGGCCCGAGGAGAGCAGTAAGATTAAGTCTTGAACTGTTGCCTTTGCTGTTTGAGT